AAAAAAAATAGAATTAACAAATATATGCATATATAACTTGAGGATAATCCTCTGCGTTCTAATCAATCCCATTTGCCCACCACAAACTCCAACTCTTAAATCATCTCTTTTCACTTCTCTCCAGCGCCGGAAAATGGCATTTCGTCTGCAAGTGCTGTCGTCATCACCATCCTTCACACACACGCTCAAATATCCTCTAGCTCTCTTGAAAAACACCATCAGAGCATCTTTGCCCCAAAACACCCCAATATTCCCCAAATTTTCACATTTGCCCCAATGGGTTTCTTCTTCTTCTGTTGTTGCGGCGCCCAAATACTTGAATCTCTTGCTCTCGGGTTCGCTCGCTCTTGCTCTCTCTTTCTCTGGTATGTGTCTTTATCATTAGGTTATTCATGGTAAGTGAAGCTGTTAAATGAATCGGTTGATTCGGTTCGGCTCGTTTGATAAATGAGCCGAGCTCGGGCTTGTTAAGAACTCGTTTAGTGAACGAGTAGAGCTGGAAAGGCACAAAAATAGGATTTTTTTTATGTAGTTTTACGAACTTTTAGCTTAACTCCGTCATGGATCAAGTTCGAATAGTTAATTATGATTAAACAAGCCAAACTCGAGCTGTTTATTATTGTCTAGAATAGTTAACAAGGTAAATTATCTTAACTTTTAGCTCAACTCGGCTCGGGTTTGGCTCGTTAATTTTGATAAACAAGCCGAACTTGAACTCGTTTAGTTTACGAGTCGAGCTTGAGTACGATGAATTCGAGCTCGACTCGTCTCCTTTAAAACTCTAGTAGTAAGGTAAAATCTTGGGGACCATTTTGGTAATAAATGACTTAACTAAATTGGAGGACTGTAAAGACAATTAACCTAAATTTTGTAGGGGTGGGTTCTGCTGAGGGAAAGGCTGGGGTGAACAAACCAGAATTACTACCTAAAGAGTTTACTACAGTGATTGATGTTGCTGGGTTCTTGTCTGATGGCCAGGTGTGGCTTAATTTTTTTATTTTTTTTTCATTTATTGTAATTATTAACACATATATTATCGATAAATAAAGTTACATACTTTCAAATTTCAATTACATCGTATTTACCATGAAATATCGCCATATCGGCCATGCACTTGAAACCTATCGACTTGTCGTCTAATAGCACCTGTTGGCTGAATGCGCATTCGTAAAGTTTCAGAGTAATTACAAAAGTTACCCCAGACGTTTTTCATTAGCTGCAAAAGTTGCATAGTTTATCGTTCAACACTGCAAAATATAGCCTTTTTGGATGATAACAGGACTTGTTTTTCAAATAGACAGATTTTCATGGGTAGATTCTTGTAATTTATCCTTGCAAGTGTTTTGCACCGGAGCCCACAATAAAACAGCGTCATATTCACATTAGTCGAGTCTGCATTTACTACATAAAAATGATGCTAGTTTCTGAAAAAATGGCATTTACTACTTTTAAACTTGATTTTTGCAGGAAAAGAGGATTGCACAAGAGATTGATGAGCTCGAAAAGGACACGGGATACAAGTTACGAGTTTTGGCTCAAAATTATCCCGACACGCCCGGTATTATATATCCCAGCTGATTGATAAAATAATAATAACACGTTCATCTTCCGTAAATTATTTCTGAAAATTTTAAACAGAATTTCTCGATTTTTTCTTGTTTAGGGTTAGCAATCAAGGATTTTTGGAATGTGGATGATAGTACTATTGTATTTGTTGCTGACCCCACGTTCGGTATTTTGTCGATTCTCTTCTTCAGATTTCGGATTTTTGATTTTATAAAGATGCTTATTGTACTGTATGTAAATATATATTCAGGAAATATAATTAATTTCAATGTTGGGGCCTCGGTCGATTTGGACATACCACGCAGCTTCTGGAGCCGATTAGCAGGAAAATATGGGAACATATTTTACTGGAAAGAAAAGGTTATGAACTCTTTCATTCATTCTGAC